CAGTGTTTAGGAGAGCTTCAATAGCATAAAGAGAGATTTGGTGAAGAGGAGAGGAGATTGTGGTTGAATACTACCTAGTAAAACACAATGGTACATGAGAGCACTCAAACTAACTTTATTCATCATTAATGAAATTCAGCAGTCTCTCTAAATAAAATTAAAATAAAAGGAATCAAAAAGTAAAAAACAAAAAGGAGGAAAAAGGGAGGATGGCCACAAAAGGATAATATCAAAATATCAGCTTGAAGACCGGATATATCCTTGATTTTAACCCTTCTGAAGTAGTTCAACATAATTCAAACACATGCAAAAATAGCTCTCAACAATTAAAGGAATGTCCCATTATATCACTGACTTATTTTATCCTGATAGATAGGAGGTAAGATTTCAAGCCAACAATGTTGTTTTCTTTTAATGATTGGTACGCGTATGGATGAAGGAGGATTGAGCAATTGCGTCCCATTATATCACTGACTTATTTTATCCTGCTAGACAGGAGGTAAGATTTCAAGCCAACAATGCTGTTTTCTTTTAATGATGGGTACGCGTATGGATGAAGGAGGATTGAGCAATTGCATTCTCCTCGAGACAACTAAAGCTACATAAAAAAAAAACTACCCTATACTTATAATATTTATTCTTGAAGCACAATCTGAAGGACATTTGCATGGAGTTATTCATCAAACACAAGATATTGAATTACCATTCACTAAGTAAAGCTCAACTCACATCATAGAAAAAAAATCAAGTTATTAATGGACTATGAAATGCAGAAACAATATCATTCTAGGAAAGCCGGTGTAGTTGTCGATGCACTAACCAAAAAAATCATTTCTTCAAGCTGCTAGAAGTCAATCTAGTGAGGCGGTGATTATGTCATATTGACTACAAATTGATCGAAGCTCAAGCAGAAGAGCCATATCTAGCTAAGACTGATAAGAGGCAAAAACTAAATAGATTTTCACGTGCATAGTAGTGAAGTGCTTTAAATTCATGGGCCAAATACGCATCCTGAAAATCGTAATTTGGAAGCAATTTATCCACATGAAGCTACCAAACTAAAGATTCAAATCAAATTAACAATTTCTGTTTGATGATGATTGAATCTGAGTCATGTATGGTTCCGAAAACGATGTATGGAACCATACACTCAATTTAGTTACTAATTTGGGCTAGAACCAAACTATATCATCCCGATTAGCTACAAGAATGAGTCCAGCAAGAATGATCACATATTCTACCTATGAAGCATTGACACAAACACACTACAATGATATGCCATAACAGTGATAAAAATGATATAATACGTCAGTTGATATAATATCGAGTTTTAAAGAATATTGATATGAATTATATAGTATTTTTCACTTCACGCATCACATCACGAAATATATTATCGTATATACTTCACCAACAAAAAAAATGCTTTTAAAAAATATAAGCAAACCTTATTAATAATAAAATAAATAGTTTATCAGATGTGACAATCATCATTAATTAACAATATACCAATATTAGTATTTATTAATTATTATTAATTTTCACATATTTTGTACCTATTATGATATCTCACTGGCATGCCGTTTCTCATATGTATCCTAGCAGCGGATTGATTTGGATCCAAGGAACTTTAGGATGTATCTGACCCATGTTGTAACCTACTTTTGTCTTGAAATAATTCCAATACAGCTTTGCGCATATCCCAAACATATCAAGGTCTCTCATAGGCATGTGCTCGACATGTGTTTGTCATGGACACGAAGTGTCAATGCTACTTGGAATTTTGCCTAGTTTTTGGAAGCTTCAAAAGCAAGTCAATGTCATAAGTTATAATTGCTCCTTAACAAGCAGTGAAGAAAGTGTCAGCGTTAATACATATTTCCCCAATACCCCATCTATGTAAGGAAGCTTCAAACAACATGAGACTAGTGAAGATTTCATCTTCCTATTAAGTGGTTGAAGCCAAAAAATCATTAGTACTTGAGCATAGTTGGCAGCCATAGATAGAAACTTGATCTTATATTCATTCAATTTACTCGCACATTTAGTTAGCTGACTAGATTGGTCTGACTTTTGTAAATCCCATCAAAGTTGTTTGTAAGTTACTACTGAGCCATGTGTTCATTAAAATACAACTAGAGTCATTGGATGAAAATGATGATGATAATCACCAACATATTCACCATTGAAGATCCTCGTTTTATCTCCATCAAAGCATCACTCGTATAATAGACAGCCACTGCCTCCATACATATTTGAATAAAGTTGATGTTAATATCAGATACGCCAAAGGTATTTGAGCAAAGATTCATCCAAATAGGCCTACTAAGCAAGAGAAAATTGGTGAGGTGTTTCTTTAGTTACATTTAAGTTTTTTTCGCATTCAAGTGCCCAATCGATAAAAATGACTCTTTCAAAGCTTTAAAGAGAAGCATTACATTCTCATTCGCTCAAATATAAGACTAACGGTATATTTTGGGTGACTGTAACCTTTTAAAAATGTGATTTTAAAACTGCAATGGAGAAAATAACTTCTTAAAAATCTAATCTAACGTGGAAATTATAATTATATATTTTTTCTTTAAAAAAAGAACATACAACAACTTTCTTACAATCACTAAAGTTTAATATGTCAGGCTGATAAAAAAAAACTTACCAAAAATATTTCTAGAAAGCAATTCCCCAAAAAAAATCATGGTGGCTATCAAGCACATTTTCTAGTTTAGGAGGCTTCTAGAGCAACCCAAACTTTGTCCAGGATGGAAGAGATTCCAGTCAGAAGCCTAAGCACTTCTATTAATTTGTACCAAACAAACACTCATCACATTAAGCACCATTTTTAAGCCTCATTAATGCTGCAAACATCTTGGAGATGTCAATGAAGTGGCATGCTCTTCACCAACCATTTCTTAATGTAAAGCATTACACTCCTCTCCTTTTTGTGCTTAAAATGATTGTCTAGTAGGAGTCATTACATGGTATCCGCATTCATCGATTTGAACGGCATAACCATGAAACAAAATAACCCATCAACACTAATGAAGCTCATCTTCTCCTCATTGGTCAAATTCATCTTAATATAGCGACCATCAGATCCCATCTACAAAAGAATTCCTGTGAAAGAGAAAGTGAGATGAATCCCCTGTGAGCCATGTAGTGGAGGTTGTGTCTCATCAGGCAGCTTCAAGTTTAGTACCACGCCTGGACCTTACGAGCTAGCTGAGTGTGCTTCTTGATTATTGGGAGATGTTTGTTATTAATATTTTTATTACTGGCAGTTATAGTTATGTTAGAAACTCTTACATATGTCCCTCCAACATATTCTCCATGACAACTTTAATGGTGTTTTAGTGAGGAAGTGGTTCTAAACTAGTAAGGGGGACCAACATATTCTCCATGACAACTTTAAGACTCTAAAATCCCAAGTTTCATGACCACTTTCATTTTGGTATAAGATAAAACATCCCTCATTCCATTAAAAAATTGAATGGATGCACATTCAATCAACCATATTATTCATAATGGTTCCTATTGTGTGACATTGAACCTAACGACTTCCTCCATGAGTTCTCTCAAGCGCTTGTTGTAGTTACGCAGTGGTGACTTGTATTTTGGGAACAGGCTCTGCAAAAGTTTTTGAAGAACAGGGCAAAGTGCTAACAGCAAAACTTGATAGAGAATACAGAAACATAAATGTTTTACGAATCACTTTCTTTATGTAGTCAGTGAGTAAAGAATTGTAATAACAATGACAACTGCCATGGTAAGGTTGATTGGTGTAGGACTAGAAGAGGAGGGAACATCTAATGCAGCACAAGATGTCACCTTAGAAGGTTGCACAAACCACAGAAGTTCAATCAGCAACAAAAAAATAGGAGCTATAGAGGATGATGAGATGATGCTACAACCTTGAAGAGTTATGGAAAGGAAAGACAAACAGCACAATAACACTAGTTGAAATTACCTCACTATCAGCAAAAATGAATATCAATCACAATCTCAGAAAAGGAAGAGTTGAAGAGATAACCAACATATTACCAAGTTAAATTTGGAAAAAATAAAGAGCAATCTCAATTATAGTTTAAAATGTAGTGTTAGTATCTTATTTACTAACACCATTAAAGGATTCCTCAAAGGTATCTACGGATTGAATTTAGTGAGGAAGTGGTTCTAAACTAGTAAGGGGG